GTCCAAAGCGGACAATATCGTGCTATAGAGGAGCCGATCTGGGATGTGACAGAATGGTATCAGAGCCACTCTGTCATGTGGTGCGAGTGTGTTGATAAGGACGTTGGGCTCCTAAGGGGGATGGATTGTAACATCCCACATCAACCAAGGATTGTAACATCCCACATCGACCAACGGAGATGGGGTGATGTGCCTTATATGTACATGTCCACCTCCATATAGCACGAGGCCTTTTGGGAGCTCACTGGCTTCAGAGTTCATCGGAACTCCGAAGTTAAGCGAGTTCGGGTGAAAGCATTCCTAGGATGGATGACCCACTGAGAAGTTCTCACGTGAGTTTCCAGAAACAAAATTGTAAGGGCATGACCCAAAGCGGACAATATTGTGCTACGGCGAAGCTGGTTTGGGATGTGACAAAGCGTCCTCATCATTTTCATCAATATTATAGGACTATTTCAAGATTTAAGGGAGTTCATAAATCATCATGAACCATACAATAGTTTCCTTGGATAACCAGAATTGGCTTGCCTGATATTTTCTAAAAGTGATTCATGGATTCGTTGAGGAAGATATTATGCATTCGGTTCCCAGATAAGAAACTAGGTCTTGAACCAATTTGGCAGCTCATTTAGAGTATGAAGGCGAAAATGAATAAATCACGTCTGGGAGTATCATACATCTTGAAAATATAAGAAAATGTCCAATGCATTTTGATAATCCCAAAAGTTATTCCTTGATGGCTAATTTCAGGCCTAGAGAGAAGACATATAGAGTTGGGGCTATTACCTATTCTTCAAGAGTGATCACTTCAGGATTAGGATTTTGAAAAGAGCTATCAAATTATTAGTTCCACTTCTATATCAATGCAATACGTCTACTGATTTTATTTCAATCAGTATTCTTGCATACCATGTCTAGCCTTAGCCAACCCAGAAGCCTTTAAGGTTATTGAAACAAATGCTTCTGATGATGGGTAAAGTGGAGTCGTGAAGCAAAGAACTTAAGAGGGCAAAGAACAGTTGATTCGTTTTAGATCAAGTTTCGAGAAGAATGAGGAAATAGCGCCGACTCTATGCGTTTTCTCTTCAGTCCTAAAATTAGCCCTTGGGGGGGGTATAATTTTTGGGATTATCAAAAGGCATGGGAAATGGTCTTAGGTTTTCAAAGTATCTAATACTACCACACATGGTTTATTCAATTTTGCCTTTGTACTCTGAAAGAGTTGCCAACTGGTTCAGAACCTGGTTTTCTTATTTTGGGACCAATGTAGAATATCTTCCTCAATTAGTCCATGAATCATTTTTAAAAAGTTCAGGGCAAGTCAATTCTGATTATCTTAAAACAAGGAAAATATTTTTATGGTTCATAATGATCTATGAACTCCTTTGGATCTTGAAATGGTTTCTATGATTTTGATGAAGATGATAAGGACACTTGGAATTATATTCCTCAACTAGAAAGACAGATTTATGTGCGTTTGTGGGACAAGTTTAACTTAGATAGGTTAGAAGAATCACGAATGAAAGAACTTGTGAAGATTGATCTTCTCTCCTAGCTTCCAATTCTCTCTTAAAAGGCTGAAGTCTTTAGTTGAGTAATCTAGCTCATCCTCTTCAAAAGCAGACCTAAAAAGGAAGGTCTTAAAACTTCTTGACTTCGATGACATGGACGAAGAAATGGCATCAACGTACATGTCTTCTCAAGAAAAAATGGATGAAGACTTGGCAAATGATAATGGTGATGACTGTTTTGGAATTCTCCAGTCCATTCTACAAAGCAAAAAAGCATGTAATGCTTTTCTAATGAAAAGAAAAGAAAAAAAAATAAGAATATTTGTTAAAAGCATGAAATGTTGTCTGATATCAAGACAAGTAAAGAATTATTCAACTTTTGAATAATTGACTAGTTTTCCTGTAGCCATGTGTGTTGGGTTGATGTTTTATTTAAGAGTCTTTTCTTTTGTTGTTTATCTATGTGAAGCTGAGTCAGATCTATTGCATAAAGTGAAGATACCGCCCACTGTGCAAGTCTGCTTTATGGCGACTCTCTACTTTACCAACACCTAGTAGTTTCCTACTTTGCCGTCTTGTCTTTTAGTTTTGCTATAAAAGGAGCCTAGTTGCTCAGTTCTAAACAAGCTTTTCTTCATATTATAAAAACTCTAGTCTAGAGTTTAAGAGTGCAAATCAATTTAAGTGTGAGTGTCCTTTTGCCCTTTTGTAACAACAACTTGTGTTTGGAGATATTATTAAGGGAGACTTTGGATGAGGTCCTTAATTATGAATATTCTTTTATTGAAACCTTGTTGGTTTTTAATTTTTTATTGTAGTTCCTGAAATTAATATGATAATTTATTTCTATGTACGTTAATATATTTTTTAAATTAAAAATTAGAAATTTTAGTTGTTTATATAAATGAGATTTTAAATAAAAAACCATAATTTGTGGGATTAAAAATATTAAAATATAAATATACTATTGTGTGTGTTTATATATATATAAACATGGTACATTCATCAAAATTAACCAAAAAAATTATTGAATCAAAATATGGGTACATTCTTCAAAATCACCAAAAAAGAAAAGAAAAGATATTAGGCTTAATAACATTAGTATCCCGTTACTTTATATTTATTTGCTTCAATTGATATTCATAATTTTATTATGTTTATACATATATTCTCTTCCGATTTATAAATTTAAACAAGATTAAATGACTATGACGTCTCTGGGTCATTTTTAGTATCAAAGCCAAACTTGTTATTTATATACTTTTTAGTCTAGTTTCAGTTAGATCAAAATACTCTTCAAGAACTTCTCATTAAAGTGGGGGAAGTCGTCAGTGAGATGTACAACTATTTAGCCGAGGTTAGGCGTTTGTTAGGCGTAGGCAGTGTGTTGTCGATATATCAACTAAGGAACAGAGAAGTAGTGAAACTCTCTTCTAATGGCAAGCTTAATTAGATCTTTGAGTAAAGGGTAAGTGGGTAAAAACCATGTTCATTTGTCCAAGAAACAGGGTTTTCTTCAACCTCTAATATAGATGTTTGTTGTCTTTTGCAAGATCCTTATAAAATTCGCCATCATGGTTAAGACTTCCTGAGAATCTTTATAGTTGTTGTCCATCCAGAATTTCATTTGGAATTTTATCAGCAAAAGCAATGGCAATCAAGGGGTAGAATTAACATTTTCTGGATATTATGACAAAAAATCAAACTTTTTTTTTAAAAGAGTTTCATCTTTCAAGCCGAGACCACTAAACCTGCAGTTTCAACCATTTTCAAGAAAATACTGAATGTTTAAAATGTTGTTCTAAGGAGTTGGAATAAACTAGAACATCATCAATGTCATCAATGGTAAAAGTGGTTTAAGAGTTGAATATATCATTCATAATATTTTGAAACTCGGAGGGGGCATTCTTCAATCTGAAGAGCATTACGTTCTATTTGTAACGTCCAAACAATAAATTAAAAGCAGTCTTATATTTATCCTTTTCAGCAATTTGAATTTTCCAATAACCAAAATTCATATTGACTTTTGAAAATGTTACAGCTTGACTTAGTTGATCTAACAAAATCTTCTTATTAGGAATGAGATACCTTATCCATTTGAAAGTTTTATCTAATGGTTTAAATTTAGGACTAACCTGAGGGCTCTTCGTTCCAGTTGAGCCGCATTCTCCACGTAAAATCCTAAGCAACTCTATGACTAGTAGCTCTTGGGAATCAGCTTATTTTCAAGAAGCTCGATTATTTCTTTTTTACATATTTTTTATTAACCTGTTATTCATCTGAATGGGTCGAGCCTTTATTTGAATATTCTTTTCATCAAAATCAAACTAATTGGGTAACTCAACAATGTGTCTCTTACGATCCAAAAAAGCACTAGAAATAGTTGCAAAAACATGTCTTTCGAAATCCTTTTGTATTAACTTAACTTTCTTTTTAATTGTTTCAGTAAGAAGTTGTCCTTCAGTCTTTTTAAAATGAATTTACTCTTTCAAAGAACAAATAAAATTTTCTTTATTTGTAATTTTCTGTTGTATGGAATTGACATACTGAGTTTGAGGTTCTCTTGAGAATTTACGATATTAATGTCATCAATTTCAGTAAAGTCTCCCATCATCTCTTAAAACTCTGTTTCAATTTCGTTTTTCCTTGAAATATCATCAGGAAATGGTGGATATAGTTCCACTTTTGTAGCATTTATTTCAGAATGCAAACCATTAAAGTGCAAATCATTAAGAGTAGGTTATTTTTTCTTATTATTTCAGTTATCCTATTGACAATGGTCTTGAAGCTATAAGCGTTGAGTGGTTGCTTTTCGAAAGTTTTTTCTTTCCGTTTTTCTCTAGCCATATGCAAGTATTTTTCTAAAGTTCATTTATTTATTTTGGAGAATCTTCTATTTTATCCATCAAGTCTAGAATAAGACTTTTTTCTTTAGTTATTATGCAAAGACGTTAGTTGCAACTGGAATTTTCGGAACAACTATTTTCAGTTGTCGACTCAAATAGTTCTTCATCTTCAAAAACTGCTATTTCCCCATCACTTTAGCATTAATTGATACAACTGTCTCATCAAACCCTTGTTTAGATTAAGATTATTAATCTTATCTTTCATTTTGCACTCATTTCTCGTGTGCTCTATTTTTCCACACCTGTAGCAAACAAGAGGGTTTTCTTTACCACTAATTCCTTTTCTTTTAAAATGAAATATTTTCTTTATAAAGTCCTATGAGTTTTTTTCGGATGATGGTCATTTTCTTCTCCCTTACAGGATTCTTTATGCTTTTTATGAGGCTTTCTTGCAGATAATTTTGTAGTGGGCCGGAAATTCACAAAAATTACCTACTTCTTTCAAGTTGATTTTTAAGCTTCATGTAATTACAGAGTGTTAATGCTTCAGTACAGATCTCACTAGTTAATTCACCATAAATATACATATCAAAGGGTATTATACCACCAAATTTGTTCCTTAGCTATTGCGTACCTTTTTTTGGCAAAGAGAGATGGTAATCTAGAAGCGGAAGAAGCATAAAAACATCTTTGTGCCATCTGAAATAAGACAAATTGGACATTTAAGATTCATCAAAAGTTCTCTAGATTGATCTTGTTGGACCTCAATCGTTCCAACAAAATGGAGATTAATGGTGTAGATTAGAGTATTAAACTCTTTTTCTTTCATTTGTGTGTGCATATATATATGGCAGATTCGTGACACCACTTTTTTTACACAACTGTTAACACACGTTTTTCTGGAGCCTACTTCGTAATGTGGTTTAATGATCCGAACCGTGTATATTTTAGAACATCATACATAGAACATCCTCTCAAAAAGTTAGACAAATCATAATCATTAAGACATTCATTTGTAATAAAAAAAAAAAATAGACAAATACGGTTTTATAAAGAAACCTTAAACCCTTAATCCAACAGTTATACAGTTTAGATTTACGTGATTTTTGGTAGACGTGATATTTGATAGAAAACCTAAAAGATAGATGGTCCGGATTGGAATAATTACAAAGTAGGCTTCACAAAAACACATGTCATTATGTAAAAAAAATGTTGTCACAGATCCGTTGTATGGATGTATGTGTGTGTGGGTGTGGCCACTATGCTTTTTTGTTGTGCGTTAAGAGTGGTTTGTGTTTACAGCATTGTAATAGTTGTGTCGAAATCATAAGGCCGAGTTGTAAACTTGTTTGAATTTTACCTCTTAATTGGATTCCCCTGGTATCATTCAACTGCAACTTCATCGCCCTCGGGATCATTCATGTTCTTGACGCGGAGTTCAACAACCCTCAGATCCCGCAGATGTTGCAAAATCTCTTGGAGAAGATCCACCCCTTTGTCTCCCTTCTGTATGGAGCTCATGCAGTGCTTGAGAAACTCCCTGTCTGCTTCAAGAGCTTGTAGCCTCTCATAAACATGATCCACCTCCTCTTCAATGGCTATTTTTCCATCATTCAGTTCGAAATTGGTAATTGAGCTCCGCATCATTTCAATTGATTCTGATTGATCAGCGTGTTCTTCATGAGTTAACCCTTCTTCGGTTTCATCGTCAGTTGCATCCAAAAGCGGAAGAAGCCTCTTTGCCATGGAATCCAATGTCTTTTCCTCGGGATGATGTCTATCTATCCCATTTTCTTCTGGACTGCTAACATCATGATTCTCTTCGGAGTATTTGAGGCTGCACGTTGGGGAATGCTCAACTAGCTTAAAGTCCTCGGCTAATTCCTCATTTGCACCCAATGTGATTAGCTTCTCCTCCAAGGCTTTGAGCTGATCCAGAATGGACAGCCTCTCTTCCTCGAATCCTGCTAGCGATTCATCAAGAACACTCATATTTTTAACACAATCCAGAGCCAAATCTTCCAAACTCAGATCTGCATCGTCTGTGGTATTGTTTTTGTCATTGCTTTCTTGATGGCCACCGAAGCCGCTTTCTTCGTCCCTAACTTCAACATTAAGATCAATCGATAGCGCATCACTATCCCACGACTGGCTGCAAGAAGCAGAAGAATTCCTACTTCTTATACTTCCATATTTAATTCTGCTCATGGTCCTTGCCTTCTCTTTTTCCTCATAATCTTGGACTTTCTTTTGATATATTTCCAATTCTCTCTCTAGTTCTTGCTTTTCCTTCTCCTTCTTGTTCATCAGATCATTCAGAAGTTGTAAGGCGTCCTGGTCGTACTCGGATTGTTCTTCCATCATCCTCTGGTATTGCAATGCCTCCATTTGCATTGCTGCCTTCTCTTCTTGAAGCCTTGTTATCATAGCCATAGTCTGGTTGGCGGCAATTGCAGATGCACTCCTCTCTTCCTCTAGTTCTGCATATAAAGAACTTAGAGATTTACGCTCAGCGGTCAGCGCTTCTTTGAGCCGTCCAATGGTTGTAAAAGGATCCCTCTCTTCTGTCTCGCTCACCACACTTCCATCCAAATACTCTTCTACTGCCGACTCTATTTTATCATCTGGTTTCTTGTGCAAGGAACAAAGACTGTTTACAGATGTTGTTGAGTCAGGAATCTTCTCTTCCCCTCGTTCTTGAGCCTTTTCAGGCATACTTGTTTCCTCTTGCGGTGTAGCTGCTTCAGTATGCCTTGTACCTGTCAAAATTAAATTTACCGTAAAATCCAGCTCTTTCTTATATAACAATTACACTACTTATAGTACTAAATGTCCTTCGTCAAACGAATTTTTGTATCTAGGTGGAGGTAAGATATGATCTTGAGATTTACCGTAATCACTCTGAGCCGAGAATGTATCAGGTACATTGGGAATTTCAAAGCACGGAGAAGAAGAACCTTCTTGAGCCCGAGGGTGATCACTTGCACGGTCATACTCTTCTGTGTTTGCAAAAATACTTTCTTCTTCAGATGCTGCAGTTTATTAAGAAATCAGAATGCAAAATAAACTTATAGTGAAAAAATTTAATTAATAATTACAATCTTCTGTACCTGGTGGATCATTTCGTTCTTTCTTATCGGGTTCTTCAATTCGAACAAATAATGTTTGAGCTCCTGGAGCAGTGACAACTTCGTCACATGGCTTGCAAACCAAATCTTGTTTTACCTCTTCCGCGTCTACGTCAGAAGAGTTATCAGTAAAACCCCTGGACGTATCTAAGCTTTCGACTTCTCCATTACTTGTGTTAACTGCACTCTCGTTTGTGACAAGTACTAATGATGGTTCTCCAGAGAGTTGAGGTTCAGATCCGATGTTCGACTCAGAGGCGAAATTTACTCCTTTATGATCATGCTCTCTCACCTCCTCCTCTTTTACATTGCGGGTTACTTGGTCTACTGTAGTTGAAAAATCAATCAACTCAACGGGAATCAACCGATGATTGTGAGCACAGATCAAACCATTCTCGGAAGATAGGGGGATGATTTCAAGAGAGTAATCTTCTTCAAAGCAACATTGAATGCTGGTAGCACTAGCATCGGAAGATTGATGGACAAGTTTCGTGCTGTTAGAATCTGACCGCGCAATGTCAAGAGAACCTCCTTTGTTATCTTTATCTGCATCATTTTCCTGACATAGCAATATTGATCTAGACCTTTGACAATCTTCCACTGCAATGCCTCTGAAGCTAGAACTGCAAACATCCGATGTAAGTTGTTGCTCGTCTGCCACTCTATCGTCCTCATGTTCTTCATTCGTTGTCTCCAACTCATAGCCATTGTAACTGTGAGTTGACAGGCTTTCAGGTTTGTTTGCGCTTTGATACTTACCTCCATTGCTTCCATCATCCACAGCTTCTACAGCTGAATTCCCTTTCCGCACATACTCCAAAGAACCGCAAGAAGGTTCGGAACAAGGACGGCGAAACATGTTGGATATCTGAGTGGCATGGCTCTCACATACAACATCTGTGTAAGAGTTGTTTGAGCTCTTGCCTTGTTCCAGGACGCGTTCGATTCTAGGAGTACACAACGGACAAGGTGGTTTCAGGCCGAAGTAGTTGGCATATTTGTTGATCAAGTAACTGAGCAAAGAGTCGAGGAGGAGGAGTATTATCAAAATCCATTCAAGAACAGCATAGACTAGAATTACAATCAACATGGGAGTGTTCCTGTGCAACATGCTTGCAAACTTGTTGGTTGCCATGGATGTAGAGAGAGAGAGAGAGAGAGAGAGAGGAATGCTTTTCAACTTTAGATAGAAAAATGAAGACTGAGCTGTTGCAAGAGAAGTTGGTTTACAGTAAAAAATATGTTATTTTTCTTTTTATCAAAGGGGGATTGGAGCGGGGATCCGTCTTCAACATTGAAAAAAGAAATACCATTAGAAAAAACGGTAGTTTGTAACATCTGTTAAAGACGATATAAACGCACCCGTAGAATCTACACCTGGAATTTTAGCTTTCAAGTTTAAAGTGATCATCACTATCCCTAAGAGCAATTTAGAACAAGTATTATGTAATTAATTTGTACTTGTTCATTGTTAATCAAATACATATGAATGCTACTTAGGATTCTTCTTATATTTGGTATTAAAGTGGGAGGCAGGGAATGATGAAACATGGGTTGTCAACACTCAGCAGTGGCAGGCATGGTGGAAAAGCTAACAAGGAAAAAGAAAAAGTGAGTGGAAAAAAGGGAAGGAATTAGATCAAATTGGGGGCTTTTTGAAGAGTGAATGAGAGCCTTTGTATAAATAAAGTTGGTTGTATAATATCTGCTTTTGCTCATGGGCCTCTATATGTTTTCTTTAACTTTTCAAAAGTGAAAAGTTCGTTGTTGGGTCTCAGAAACATAAAGCAATGTAAATCAAAGAACCTAACCAAATGCTTCCTTGAAATGTTTAAGGCGAGTGATTTCCGCACGCTCATATTTTCTTTTTGACATTTATGATTATTCCTGATTGTGGATTTGAATAAATTAAGGAGAATTAATGGACTATTGAATTGAATAAATGAAGGAAATCGATGTACATGAATAAACATGAGTGTAAGAGGAGAAATGAAGCGTTTCTCTAGGGTTTATTAGTAATGTCCTCCATACTTTTGGACAGCTGGCTTGAGACCTTACAAGTCACATTTCATGTGTCAACCTTTATTTTGTTGTGGTAACCAATGGAAATGATTACCACTCTCCTTTTCTCCTTTCACACGCCCTGTCTGTTTGTTAGTCCGTTAATTCTCGTTTAATTTAATCAATCTGTACAAAATTAGGTACTTTTAAGATCACGGTAGGATTTGTAGTTAATGAAACGTCCCAAATTTGAGTCCCCCATATCATCATTGCTTGGCCGTTGTGAATTATTTGACACATTTCAATAAGATAAGAAAAAGAATGCAGCATTTTATTTACTGAAATTTGATCACTTTATGGTAATTAGTGGGGGTCTTTTATCCTACAACTAATTAAAACCTCCATGTGAAAACCTACACTACAGTTGTATAAGTACGTCAATCTGTATCTGCATTGTCGTCGGATTCTTGGCTTTCCTCTCCTTGAATGGTATTTTGGTTCATCGTAAACCTCCAGCTATCTCCTTCCTCAATCTCCCATTGTTTCTTAAGTTCAAAGATTGCTTTAGAGGCTGCGGCAGCAATTGCCCGATTGCTATCTTCTGCGAGTCTCTGCAAGGAAAATGAAAGGCATGAGTTTCTGGCATCATCACGGCGAAGACTGACGATTACAAATTACAATTATTTAATTTCCAGCAAACCTGTAATGCTCCCATCCCTGCATTACCAAGAGTCCACATAGATGGAGCTGCAGCCAAAGCATTGGCTACTGCTTTCCTATACAACAGAAAACTAAAAGGTAATAGTGGATGATATACAATACAAGTCATGTAGGAGTCGACAGAAACTAGTGAATCAAAATTCAAACAGACTTCCTTGTCTCTGGATTTGATATATCACTCGAAAATTAATGTCAGCGTCAGACTTCTTTTTGGCTATAAAATGACAACAAATTCCTAAAAGAAACATAAGTGACACCATTCGCAGCATTGTTTCCAAAAAGAAAGGAAAAGTATTTCCAAGAACATAGGTTTCCATGAAATACAGATACGGATACAGCCTTGTCCATGCACGTCGGTCAGAAGATTAAAGCATATTGCATGATTGGCTTTCTACACTTAAATTTTTGATTCACAACAATAAAGGCTAAACTCTTAGCTTATGAGGAAAATGTATGCATTTGTCAAGTCTAAGGGGGTAAGATTGTCCAAGGGGCACTATAAGATAAATAAGTAATGCTTGCATAACTTACCGGGTATTGACATCGGGAGAACTTGAACACTCTGCCAATAACGATACACTACTTTTACCATCCATTGCATCGAGATCAATTAGAGTTGCAATTAACAGCTCGAGCTGCTCCAGATAGAAAGATAAGTTAAATAAGCGACCCTACAAGCAGTCTAACATAATAACATTAACTGCTAGACCAGACTTGGAACATAAATACATATAGATATGGACCTCTTCAGGATCAGTATAGTCAATTCCATCAGCTTCAAAGAGGGCAGACGCCATACTCCAGTAAGCTTCCTGTACACAACCAGTTATTAGATTGTAATATCCTGAATCTCAAGAAAGTAGGAACAAAGTGAACTGGAGATTTCCAGGAAAAAGGGACCTGAATTGCATTAATGCGATCAGTAGATACTTCCCCAGGAGGGAAATCAAGACTTTTCCCATTCTTTTCAAGCATTATACACCCCAGTATGTCATTTTCTGATACAACACCATTTTCGCTTTGCAGAGGACTGGATGTCGACAGGAGATATTATAATCCAAAGGTAAATACAGAACTGATAGAAGGGAGCAAACGGCAAAGGAACTTAACAATCACAAAACAAACTTACAAATTGTACATTTTGTTCACCATCCTATCATGAATATTTTTGACAAACTGCAGATAATATCTAAAAAGTTCAGAGAACATGGAGTAACATAACTAGACATGATCTCCCACAAGTATCTTTGTTAGTATTGCAAACGAAAATAAATTTACCTCCAAAGCCATTAGGGCATCTTCCATTGCACGTTGTTTGGCACGGAGGTCAGCACGGCGCAAATCAGCCTAAGAGAATCAACACAGCATCAAGATGCATATTTTGGTGCATCATTATCATCATTGTATTTTCCAGAAAACTAAAATTGTTTTCTATCACGTAACACCGCATTTTTACACAATATATTTATATACATGTATATAATGCGGAACTGAACTTTAGAAAACTTGAATTGTTTTTTTAATTATACTAGACTACTAGTAACGGTTTTCTAAGCATTGGATGCGGTTTTGAATTAATTAATTTTTTAATACACCAATAGACTTGAACTATGTTTGTATCATTTCTTTCCTTACATTTATACCTATGTTGGTTGATAATAAAGAAACCCGCAAGAGAAAATTCATGTACGCTCTCTTGTTTGTACTCTTGTGCATCAATCAAGCCCTTATTTACATGCATTTCTTACAACTTTGACATCTTTCTTAATTTCTTGAATAGTTCTGTGGCTTGCTTATTTCTATTTTACACTATTACAGCTCGTAATTTAACTTCACACACTGTTAGCCTATAGTAATCTAGTTTAGAGTCACAAATACTGGCAGGGCACACTGTTTTCACCTTATACGTTGCATATTCATCATAAATACATATTGTATGAAGCTCGTAAGTTTAATTGATGCATATTGAATGATTTCAATTTCTTCAAAGTTTCCTTCAAAATTTCTATGTTTTGAGATACTGCATCATGTTAACCAACAGATAGAACAAAAAGAATTTGTTTCTGTGAAAAGAGTACCTCTAAGGCTCCGTCACTCCAATGCTTATCAGCAGCGGTTTTCAGTCTAGACTCAGCTTTGTCTTTTAAGATCTGCAGAGGATTGTTGGATATCAAATTAGTTAAAAACACCTAAAATTCAAAGTTATAGTAAAAAGCTGCCTAGAAAAAAAAAATAGTACTTATATTTAGGCCCTATATGACGCTTAGTAAATATTTCCCAGAAAAACTGGGATGAAATAATTCAAAAAAAATAAAAAAATAAAAATTTGAGGGGTTCATAAAAATAAATAAAACAAAAGTACGCGATTATTACAAAAGTGTTGCTTTGTGACTTACTGCTAAAAGCCCCAATAAATAATACACATACCATAGCAATATGATGGAGGAGCTTGGCTTTCTTCTTCACATTACGGTCAATTTTCTCAGTATCCTCTCTTGCCCGGGCTACAGAGCAGAAGGTCAGGATAACATCATCACAAGTTTCATGACAAAGATGACTGCATGTTTAGGCAACCAAAAAAAAGAGAACCAAATAATCCATTCTCCCATTAAATAAAAAAAATAACAAATAAGAAGCCAGATCTAAAAGGAGAAAAATATTCATACACAATTCTGCAAAAGTAAACTAACTGATTCACAATTCTGTAAAGTAAACTAACTGATGTTTGGTTAGAGTGAAATGACAAGTGGAATGGAATCCATTCCATTCCTTGGTTAAGTGTTCATTCACCAGAATGAACATTTGAAGGAATGCCTGAAATCGTGGAATCAGCATTCTTCCATTTTATCTTCTCCTACTCTGCCAGTGAAGAAGTTGAGTTCCACCATAAAACCATTTGGCAATATGGGGAGTAGCCCAACTTACGTGGAGCACATGTGGCCGTTAGGCTTCACACGTGAGACAACCTACTCTAATACCATGAAGAAGTTGGGGTTCCACCATAAAACCTATTGGCAATATGGGGTAGTAGCCCAACTTACTTATAAGCACATGAAAGGTCCCTCCTCTCATCAATGTGGGATTCACTCTCAACAGCCAGTTCCACTAACTTCCTCATCTAACTTCATCTACAACACCCCACCCCCTTTGCAGGTTTTATCTCCAATCAAAAGATTGACCTCTGTTGTCTTCCAATCTAATAATGATGACTTACTGTTACTGCATGAATTGATTTCACCTTGTCTTCCAGGCTTATCTTTATCCAGATGGAAACTTGCTATGGCTAACAAATGCGTGCATTTCACAAGAATCAGACCTAGGGAACTTACACCTCCTCCATCTGGGTTTACACAATTGAATTCCTCTCCTACACAATTGAATACCTTCTATCCAATCAGACATCTGAACTCGGCATGTTCTCCGTCTTTTTCCTTTTATCTGTTGTTAGTCGTCCTTATTTCTCTCCTGTCGCACAGTTCAATAACTTTAGTCATAGCTTTTCCTAAAGGGTACGTTTCAGAAACTGCCCTACCCCTATACCCCCAAGCAGAATGGTGTGCGGCTGAGTGCAAAATGTGGAGACTATACGGCTTTTGTTCATTGTTTCTTGTGAGTATGGCATATGGTCATTCTAACTATTGCATTCCTCATTAACCGTACTAGAGGAGTCCTAAACGGTACAACTCCACTCAAAGTCCTTCAGCCAGGTAGCTATCACATTTTTCAGCAGAAATATAACTTCGCGATTGGTTCCAACCAATGTTTTACAAGACCTTTAGCTTAGATGATATTACTTTATAGCAAAGTACAAATGCCTAAGCTACTAGAATATTGGTTTGAATTTTTATAAGGGAGTTTTAACGAAAAGCCTACGGTACTATTCACTTTAACGAAAAACCACATTTTTACACTAAAAAGTCAAACCTGGTACTATTCACTTTACCCTTTATTTTGTCCTTATCGTTAAAACTCAAAGTTGTCAAGCCCTTTTCATTAGTTTTCCTTTTTTATAATTATTGATAATTCTGAGGGAAAATTTGATAATAGGATTTCGTTATGACTATAGCTAACATATATAAGCCTTTAACCAATCATGTATTTAGACAATTCTTGATAAAAATCTATTAACCAAGCATATGTAATTCTTGATGAATCACTGATGCAGAGCCTAGATTACAAGTTCCAAATAAACAACAAAGTTTGATTCCTTCCTTAATTCTAATTTCATTCTTGAAACCAAACACCATATTCATTCCACATTATCTGTTATTCGAATTTGAATAAATTCATGTAAGTGTGTATTCAAAATAAAAAGAATTTATAAAGCTGCACAAGAAAATCTGTTCACTGAAAAGGTGATAAGAGTTTTACCATCCAGCTTAAGAAACCCCGACCCAAGAATAGCAACGTCTTGACGCACACGGGCATCCAACCTCATTATACCACTGACAAGATTGGAAAATAATGAGCAATGAGCTCTATGCATGAACATTTCAGGCCATCTAAAAATCATGGAATGACTAAATACATTAAAAATAACTATCAAGTGCAAGTAGCCAGTAAAATTGTACATTTTTTTCCTTTTGCAAACCATGCTCCAGCTGACTTTATAATGCATAATATACAGAAAAAGGCCAAATTATGGTGTTGCAAATTTTAATACAGGTCCTCTGTAATTTGAATATTGTCAACCTTAATTGTAATTTAACATTGCAAGACTTGTTCTTGAAGAGACCAAGATAAGGTGGATTAATTACTGTAATCTCATCTCAAAATGAAAAGGAAAAAAAAAACGAAAGTAGATTAGGGAATCTTACCGAGAAAGCAGAATAATGTCGTTGCGAGCCCTTTCATTTACGAACTTTGCGTCATTGACAACAAATTTGCAAGCTTCAGCTAAACCCTGACTGGAGTGAGTAGTTCTCTCAGAAAAGACTGGAGGCCCCCCATCTTCATCATCCCCAATCTGTGAACTAGTATACAACAGGAGTTCTTTAACAGATATTGAAAAAGAGAACAACTGGCAGTTCTTTTAAACTTATGCTAAAATATGCCATAATCAAAGAGCATGAACAACAAACTAATTTGACCAGAGTTAAAAGTGATAGTTCAAAAAAATACGGAAAATTCTGAAAAAAGATGAAGTAAATCACTGTTAAAAACTGAGACATTTTACTTTTACCGAAAAAAAAAAAAAAAAAAACTAAGAGATATTATAAAATGAGGCACAAATGGAGAACACAAGAAATCAAACAAATTAATTAATTACCTTTTCTTGAAGAGTGAACAAACATAAATTATGTAACTGTCTACAGAAGTTAAGTGTCACGGGACCCTCCAGTCCTTTAGGTTCTAATATGTAATTTTTCTCACCTTGACACAATTGAGGATCTACATGAAGGCAATACAAATGCACTTGCCCCTAGTTTGAGGGCCGTGAAAGGTACCTAGAGAGTGAATCCCTCCCCCTATATAATACACACACACTACTGTCTTTGTTCGTCTGATGCCCTCTTCCTGTTAAGAAATCCTCCTGCTGGTTCTTTTGTGTGTATATATATATATATATATATTTTTTTTTATTTATTTATTTATTTTTTTTGAGTACATCGATATTTTTACATTAGGGGGAGGGAGAGTTCAGCTAAACCACACAATGGGCAACCTAATTTGGAATCGAATTCTCCATCCACGAGATTCGAACCTAAGACCTCTCAATTCCAAGTGAAGAGAAATACCACCAGACCGTAGTACTGAGTGGCAGCCTAATTTTGTATAATATTGGATAACTTATAAAGCATTATATCATCCGGTCTTGTCCCTATGAGTGAGGTAGTCCCTTCTAGTAGTACTTCTGAGTGCTTATTCTTTACCTAACTAAGCAAGTAAACTACCTTCATGAATCCCTTTAGTAGTCTAAGATCGTTTTCTTTCTTAGTGCTTACGCTAAGGAAAAGTTTGATTAGAAAAGCTAGATACGGAGCAACCCTATAGCTTGTTTACCTACACAAGAAAACAAGCTAGAAGAAGAAAAAAATCATATCTAAACCAACTCAGATGAATGTATTTCTTACTCCGAGGCAAGAGGAAGATGGGGAGATCAAAGGTCTCTTTTCTTTTTTTTCTTTCAGACGGAGACATATAAATGGCACTTTGCCCAATTCCTATGTTCAATTGACATTATTTTCCTTCAAATACAAACCACAAGTTTCATGTAAGGAAAGTGCAAGAGGAAGTGAAAATCCTTTCACGCATATACAATTGTTTAATAAATTAACAAGTTCCAAATTTTATTTTTATTTTTTTTGAGTTCAACAAGTTCCAATTTACCAGCAAAGGCTGACAATGAAAATCATAAGCCAATTGACAGGTTGCTTCCCAATAAAAGAACCAAAACAAAACAATGATAACACTATAAACAATCTGATTTAAGGAAAAGCTACATTTATCTAATAAATTTGTAGACTTGCATTATGTTTTTAGATCAATTATTATTCGCTTTGTCCTCATATCATTAATTTGCTGCACATACACATAGAACACTATCTAATTTAACAAAGTAAATTCACAATCTCAGAAACATAACAGCGTTTCTACAAGGTTCTTACCAAGTCTCCTTTGCCGAATCACCATAAGTTACGATGCATTCTTTTGCCTTGGTATTATGACTTCCTCCAGACAGGTATACGACAGTAGATCTCTGAGAGACAGTAAAACTAACTGGTTTGCCCAATATGTGCATCAAACCATCGTTAGAAAATCTCATTTTTTCTGAACTGAGACGTGCACAATTTAGCTGCCTCTGTTCAACCCCTTGACTTGGACAATGAAGGTTATGTCGTTGGACTGACTTGGAAAACGAATTTAAAATTCTGTATGAGTTAGGAATCGCTTTTGAATTAGTCACCGCAGGACAGCTTGAAACCTTGCTTGCAGTAAGTGCCATGGAAGGATCAACACACCACTGAAGTGAAACTAGCCAGCGTTTCCTTCACAGAAGCTTAAAGCTTCAGTTGCAACAGAAAAATGAATCAAGAAAGTGTTATATTCTCATTTAACAAAAAAAAACTTACGAGAAAATACTACCGCACAAAACACAAAATTTTATACAAGCATCAAATACACAATATTCCATATAACATACTAAGTACCCAACATATGCAGTCTAAGTTTCTAACACGCAAATGGATACCATATTTCCACGGGAATCCTTTTAATTCATAGGTAAAGACCTTGCACAACAAGAATTTCATAACTTCTGGCTAAATGTATACTGGGTTCAGAAATCTTTTGCCAACATAATCCTTATAGCCAACAAATAAGGTACTCACTACCTCTCTTTTTTCAATAAACTCTACCCTCATGTGCCAGTCTTTCTTATTAGGCTTCCAAAATCAGTGAATTCAACATCTTTAGGGTTCAAACCTATTTAACTATGAGTTTGGGGTGCTTCTGTTTCATTCCAAAATCACGGTCCGGATATAAAGAACATTCTCGTTTCTTTCTTCCAATTCTCATAAGGACACTTTAGTTACTTATTCCCTTTCTGCCCACATTTTCTCTTCTTCTATTTAACCGCCCTTGACGATCTTGCAGCTCGCTCATAAAGTACAGAGTAACCTTCAGTTCTTGGCAACAAAGGGTCTATAAAGTTGTTCAATTATAATGCAGAATGCCGGTGTTGTCACTCATATTATGGAGTTCAACACTAGAAAGTAGAAGCGATGTGTTTTGATAGTTTTCGAGTTATTCATCTGCACAAATTTTATATAATATCCCATTTGCCCATTACTAATCTTGTTCATCTGAGCATTTCAGTTCAAATTTTTTACCATTAACGTTCGACCACTCCTTTAATTACTCAATTATTTTAACATGATCATAACAACAACAAACACAAAACAGCTAAATCAAACCAGACCTTCACCATGCATTAGACACTCAACAAAAAATCGAAAGACAAAATCTTGAAAATTCAACGAAATCCCACTAACCAAATTTCAAATCAAAGAAAACCCACATAAGAATTTGCAGAATAATGATATGGAAGCAGCTCAAAGTCGGTGAATAAAGTAAGAAATGCAAGGAAGCCAACTCACCTGCGGTAGGAAGCACTGACTTTACAGGAGAGAGAGAGGAAACAGAGAGTAAAGCAGCCAAATTTATTGGCAGTGTACAGTGGAGGCAGAATGTCATGGAAATTGAGAAGAGAAATTGCAACCACAACAAGTTCTTGTGGCCCCGGAATTGCCACACCGCAGACTTACAAGAACAAGAAGTATGGAAGGATGGAGAGTAACGCATTTATCATTTATGCATGTATTGGAAGAAATTATTTTTTATGGTGTTTCGGTGTATTAAATGCTTGGTTCTTGTTGGCGTCAGAATTTTTTTTTTTGAAATACAAATTTTTTTTTTTTTTTGGTTGAACTGAAAATACAAAAGTATTATCTAATGCTTTTTGACATTCACTGAAATGCTTAAAATCAAAATTCTAAAAGACGCTAGTACTGATCACACCGTGGACAGGGGCTTAGAGCCTAGGTGGGAGGTGGTTTTTGCAATTTTAATTAAATTTATTATATAACATATAAATAAATGTTTATTTATATTTAAAAAAACACATAACTATAGTGGGATACATAATTTCAAAATAAAATAACAGATAGACTATAGAGTATAAAAACATATTGAAAATCTGGGAACAAGCATAAAATGAGAGTTCATCAAAGTATTCAACAAGTCTTTTACAATTTATTAAAAAAATAAAATGCAAAATAAAAGCTATCTATTTCATGTGCAAATGAGACTCGCGACCTAGACGAGTGCCTAAACAAGTCTAGGCAGTCAAAAGCAAGTGCCTAAGCAAGTCTAGGCATCATTTCTTAAATATCAAACATCTAGAAATTAACTGAGACAGTAATCAGCCACCTAGCACCTAAGCGGTGTTAATGTCACATCCCCGCTTGAGCCCCCACCACATCCCGGGCTCGACTCCACCGTAGCACGATATTGTCCGCTTTGGGCCCCTACCACACCCTCACAGTTTTGTTTCTGGGAACTCATACGAGAACTTCCTAGTGGGTCACCCATCCTAGGATTGCTCTCGTGCGAACTCGCTTAACTTCGAAGTTTCGATATTTAAGTGTGATACACCATAATCAGAGCATAGATAGCCTAAGTGCAGTCCAGCATGACAAGTACTAATTATACAATACCAAAGTTGATCTTACATTAGTGATAATCTGTCAGAACCGTCGTCAATTCCTCGTAAGCCACCAAGCACTCCTACTTAAAACTTGAAGGGGCGCAAAACAGAAAATGTGAGTGGACAAAAACAAAGTTTTTTAAAACCATTTCAATTATCAAGGGTAGTAACCCCTCACCGTAAAACCTTTATAATTTCTCAGAAATTATAATACATATCTATATCACAACCATGCCCAGTGATAGCGAGACTCGGGGGCTACGACCATCAATGAGTGGGCTTTTGGTTTTCGGTGTGTGTGTGTGTGTGTGTATATATATATATATATGCTTGGTATTTTCCCAAAAAACGTGTTTAAATGGACTTGTGTTTTAAAATGCCATGCCAAATGTTTGATATTTAGAATATGCATTTAGTAGTTGCACATATTTTTGTTTGACGCTGCGGACGCTCAGGTAAATTGTCACATCCTAGGCTCGACTCCACCGTAGCACGATATTGTCCGCTTTGGGCCCCTATCACGCCCTCACGGTTTTGTTTTTGGGAACTCACACGAGAACTTCCTAGTGCGTCACCCATCATGGAAATGTTCTTGCCCGAACTCACTTAACTTCGGAGTTCCGATGGAACCCGAAGCCAGTGAGCTCCCAAAAGGCCTCATGCTAGGTAAAGATGAGAATATACATATAAGGCTTACATGATCCACTCCCCTAGGTAATGTGGGATGTTACAATCCACCTCCCTTAGGGGCCCGACGTCGTCGTTGGCACACATCCGGCCAGGGATTGGCTCTAATACCAAATTGTCACATCCCGGCCCGGGCCCCTACCATATCCCGGGCTCGATTCCACCGTAGCACGATATTGTCTGCTTTGGGCCCCTACCACGCCTTCACGATTTTGTTTCTGGGAACTCACAAAAGAACTTCCCAGTGGGTTACCCATTATGGGAATGCTCTTACCCGAACTCGCTTAACTTCAGAGTTCCGATGGAACCCGAAGCCAGTAAGCTTCCAAAAGGCCTCGTGCTTGGTAAAGATGTGAATATACATATAAGGCTTACATTATCCACTCCCCTGGGCGATAACTGACACACCCCAACCAAAATCAAGGCGTGCTAGCTGTCACGTGAGTGTGACGTAGCCATGTGCGCAATGCGGAAATGATATTGATAAAAAGAAATATGAGTAACTAACAACCAAGCCAACTAATTTACACTAAGCAAATATAAGTGCAAATCCCGATATTTAAGTGTGATACACCATAATCAGAGCATAGGTAGCCTAAGTGCAGTCCAGCAGGACAAGTACTAATTATACAATACCAGAGGTGATCCTACATTAGTGATAATCTGTCAGAACCGCCGTCAATTCCTCGTAAGCCACCAACAAGCACTCCTACCTAAAACCTGGAGGGGCGCAAAATAGAAAATGTGAGTGGGCAAAAACAAAACTTTTCAAAACCATTTCAATTATCAAAGGTAGTAACCATTTGCCGTAAAACCTGTATAATTTCCCAGAAATTATAATACATAACTATATCACAACCATGCTCAAAATAGCAAAATCCATAGGTATACCATGCCAAAAATCTCAGTATAACGAATTAGGTAAACTAGGTGAAGTAAGTCAATGACAAGTAACATATTAGCCGGAGTCACCTAATATGACCTGTATGGCTGAGTCTATAGCTCATCGATCCAGCTGGAGTCACCTAATATGACCTGTACGGCTCAACCAATAGCTCAACAAGTATGCCTGCACATGAGTCGAAACCACCTAAAGTGGTCTGTACGATAGGATTGGGTGTAAATAAATACGCTCAAGTGCTACGATCACGTGAAGACTATGCGAATGATCGTGGGTCACCTACGAGTCGGAACCACCTATAGTGGTCTGTATGACAGGACTATGCACCTAACTTGGATCCAAGGTGAGTGTACGGTGCGGAAGGTGAACATCACGCCTTGATTTTAATCGGGTGTGTCAGTTAAAACGAAATTTTTTAGAATAGTGCTTAGAACTTGGACTTGCTTGCGTCCACAAGTTTTTTATTTTTATTTTTTATATTTATTTTTCTTTTATTTGGAGTTTTCTTGAATTGTGATAGATGTATGGATTGGGCTTACCACCACTGCATAAACTATTTGCTAAATGACAGAAAACCTAATCCCTTGCAGATAAAAGTAAAAACCATTTATTTTTGGCATTTGGCTCTATGCCCAAAAAAAAAAAACATAGAAGTGTCAGCATGTTGGGTGCCATTTTCTTTTCAGTTATTTGGTTTATCTTATTCTGGTATGAAGAAGATGTTATTAATATTTAAAAAATATTATTTTATACCTTAAATACATAAAAAAAAAAAACAGAAGAAATGGATGACATTTTTAAAGTGTCAATAACACATGTCGAAATTTCAATGTCTTCACCATTATTGACAGAGATTAAGCATTTGATAAGCATCCAACCCTTCCCTTACAAGCCATATTTTAAGACCAAATACTATTCATGAGCTCTTAACAGTGCATGGAGTTAAAATACGAGTGTACAATAGAGATGATATTTCTCACTCTTTTAGGGTATGAGATTTTGCACTCATTTACAGCGAGTGATTAATTATATCACGTGATATTATTTCAGTATCGCATGATATAATAAATATAAAAATTTCGATGATCTTGTAATGAACATAAAAATCTCCATAGATCTCGCAATATATGGTGAATTGGTGATTGGTTCGACAACTTCGTTACCGGATTCTTTCATTTTCAAATCGAAGTTTACAAAATTGAATACAAAGGAAATAAAGCCACAGCCTATAAGAAGCTAGGACAGTAGGGCATACGTTAACATTAGGGTCGTCCTAATGCATTAAACAAATAATATATAAACATAATTGTCACATACCAAAAGATATGGAATTAGTGACAGGATTAATAATAATAATAATAATAATAATCTTGGAAACTATATAAAGCCAAGATTTTTCGAAATAAATATATATATTTAATTTAAGGGCATTTGGGTCGTCCTTCTTGGGTCTTCCAGTTGTTGTAGCAAGGGCACATTTGCTTGTTGCCAACGACGCCCGGAGGAACACATTTGCATTTGGCACAGCACTTCTCGCAGAAGAACATGCACGGCTTCTTGTGCGATGTCGCCGAGCAACGGTTCTTACATCTCGGTGTGCACGCTGCAATCACGATTAACATCGATTGTCAAGTTCAAGTTCATAAAAACTTGAGAATAAATCCTCCCCTCGTACTCCACTACATGCACCATCGAGCAACCTCGAAGTTGGTGTAAGCAGAGGGAAAAGAAGGGTTGATGAAAACAGTAAATAAATTGAAGAACTCAGTTTTATAACGTTTACCTGACTGAGGAAGCGTCTTGTAAGCCTGCGCATGAGTTAATAGAACAAAACGAAGAAAGAAACCAAGTCAGAAAAAGAGTAGATTCCATATATTTCCTAGAAATATGTTACCAGGATATGAATCAAAACCGTCTGAATTTTGATTTAACAATTAGTGCATGTGAACTTCTACAGTAAATAAAGGTCGAAATTTCGAGTCAAATTTGATTGTTCAACAATTGAACTTTCAACCGTCAGTTAGAGTTTTTATAGTCAATAATGAGGAAGACGGCAGATGAATGTACCTCAGCTACGTGAGAGAATGTGAGTAGAACAAGCAGAGAAACCAGGATCAAGACGGAGGTGTATCGACTTGCTGCCATTGCTGTGAGTGAAGAGCGAAGAGAACTGCTTTCTGGTGGAAGATTTGTGGGGTTATTTATAGGAAATGAAATATTATGATTAGGGGAATAAAAAGAAAAGCGTAGTTTAAGGCGTGGAATTGGGGACTCAAAAGTCCATGTGGGATCGAGCTGCGTGCGCTGAAGGCGCCGTGTTTAGCGTTTGGTTTTGTTTTGCTTTGCTTTTGCTTTTTCGGCAACAGCAACGCCATGTTACTTACTGTCTTTTTTCATTCTTTTCCTAACAGATCGAATCTCCATTCTCTACCTTTTTTGTCTTTTTTTTTTTTTTTTTAGGGATGTTTAACAAAACACTTCCGGTACTGTTCATTTTTAACGAAAAATCACATTTATATCTTTCCCTGGTAGTATTCACTATACCTTTAAAAATGGCTTTTCATTAAAAGGGAAATTTTTTTTAACTTTTCGTTAGTTTTTTTTTTTTTTTTTTTTTTCCTAAGCAATATTTTAGACCCACCGCTTTTTTTTACCAATTACTTTTTAGTTTTAGTTTTACATGACGAACTAAGCTGCACAACGGATTGATAATAATTTGACATCGAACTCTCTATTTGTAAAATTGTTCAACATGAGTGACACTTCATTGTAGCATTGTTGCATTAGGGGCAACAACTATTAACTCAATTCCTGACACACCCCGATCGAGATCAGGGCATGCTGGCCGTCACGTGGAAGTGACGAAGTCATGTGTACAGTGCGGAAGCTAATAAAATAATAATGTAAATAGTACGAATAATAAAAACTAGCATACAAAATGTAATAGAAACAAGTGCTAGCGTAAGTGAGACACAAGTTCAGAGCATAATCCTAAAGCAGTCCAAATGAAAATCATACGACAACAGTGCACCCGAAGGTGGCCCTACACTAGTGATCGTCTGTCAGAGATGCCGGGAAGCCCTCTGGGAAACCACCGAACCTGCTACTCAACTAGAACCTGGAGGGGTGCAAAACAAAAGCGTGAGTGGGCAAAAACAAAGCTTTTCGAAAACCATTTAATAGATATACGTAAAACCTGTATACTTCCCAGAAAAATAGATATACGTATATATGTACCAAACATGCTCAAGGGTATGCCATGCCAAAACCTCAAAATGAAATGCAAGTGCTCAGGTATAAATCATATCGATAACATGTAATCTGGCAGTCGGAGTCACCTAACGTGACCTGTACGGCTGCATCTAGAGCTCAAATCTCAAACTCACTAACTGGACCTACACACGAGTCGGAACCACCTAAAGTGGTTTATATGACAGGCCTGGGTGTAATGTATATATACGCTCTAGTGCTACGATCACGTGAAGGCTAGGCGAATAATCGCGGGTCACCTATGAGTCGGAACCACCTAGAGTGGTCTGTACGATAGGACTGTGCACCTAACTTGGATCCAAGCTGAGCGTGTGGCGCGGGAGGTGAACATCACGTGAAGGACTGTGCCCAACTCTGGGCGGGAGCACTAACACCGGGGGTGCAGGTTATGAGCTCTCTAAGCATCTCGAATCACTACTGAATATAAACATGAATAACACTTACCTAGCACTTACCTGTGCGTCCACAGCACCAAATATGCATATAAATATGTATACGATCAATAATGCAACTAACGATACATAACCAACGATAATATAATGCATGGCATATGGCAAATAACGATTCAAATCGATTTCTGGGAAAATATAAGTACATAGGTATATACGGAAAACCAAAAGCCCACTCACTGGTATGTGGAAGGGTCGTAGGCCCCCTGCCTCGAGTGACCACGCTCGTCCTCAGGATAGGTATCACCTATATGCGAAACAACTACAAAAACGTCAATTTTAAAGCACATAACCAACCTTTAGAAATAACTTCTCATACAATGCTCAAATGGGGTGTATGAATACACCAACGTGATCTACTCAACCTCAGGAACATCCCCATATTTTTAAAATAATTTTTCACCGTCGCACGTGCCCCCACGTGCTGGCCAAGGCAAGGCCACACGCGCCGACCACGCGCAGGCACGTGTCTGGCACGCTGACGGCGTCAACTGACGCTGTTAGGAATATTCCGTTATTCCTAACGGATTCCGTTAACGGCGTCAGGAATATTCCGTCGTCTAAACCGGGAAAACTTCAAACTTCGATATCTTCTTCGTTTTTCAACCAAATTTCACAAAATTGGTACCAAAATGAAGCTTAGAACTAGAAGAACACAATCATACTACTTTCAAGGGCCAAAAACCACGAAATCTCACCTGCAAAAACACCCCAATTCCAGCCAACCTCGAAACTCGCGATCCCGACGTCCAAAACCTTCAAACGAACCACCCCGAGCCTCCTAGGGACCTCACCAAGCTTCCTACAAGCTTGAAATTTCCTAAAACGTGAGAAATCACGTGTGCATGAACAGTACTCGAAATCGGACATCGAGGATTCGACGTGAAAACGAAGGTGTTCTTACCTGAAAATGGTATGGTTGGACTCCTACGAGCCTCACGAGCTCGAATATGGTATTAGTTTCCTCGATCTGTGAAGGTTTGATGTGTTTTGGGTGTGGTCCGTACAAAGGAAGGGAAAATGGGAAAGGGAAAGACATGGGGGAAAGGTGCAGGGATAGGGAGAAATGGTGTGGGGTGTAGGAGTATGTGTGTGGCCTACAACATGCCAACCAAACTCACAACAACCATTAAACGTAAAGAAATCGAACTAGGGGCAATTTCGTCATTTCACACGTACGTTTTGAAAATTTCTGGAACGGGCTGTCACAATTCCCCTATGTCGAAAGATATCAAAGTATCTCAAGTTCTTTATGGTCTAAAAAGCGATATTTGTACAGAGGTCAGATTCAAACACAAAACTTCGAGAACGTGATGATCATTTCTAACCACAAAAATTTTATGATGCTCTGGAGTATAAAATGGTCGAAGCTATTTACTGTCAGATCTTACTCTTTTCCAAAGATTTAACACTTAAAACCCCGAAGTATCATTCTCCCAAAAAAAAACCTCTGAAATCATAGCCTTTCCGGCCTCGGAATGAATGGATAATCATAGCTTGTCATCAGTTGTCTCCCTTAAAAAAATAAAAAATAAAAAAATAATAATAAAAAAAAAAAAACCTCCGAAATATATAACAATGTGCAATGCCAAGACATGCATTCCCACTTGGGATATTTTGTGCTTACCTTTACAAGACGTACTGATGAGATCTAATTTAATCTCAAGTGTGTCATGTGTGCAGTGCAGTGCATATGTTGCATGTGAAAGAACATGCAAATTGCAACATGGTTTTTAATTTGTTGCTCTGATGTGCTAGTGCATCTCAAGCCACCGACTTAAATAATATCCCTATGTGGGTAAGATTTGTTAAATTTAGTAATCCCGTGTGAACTGTGATGGCACCCAATATGGAAGCACTACTACAAGGGAAGAGGATCCTCTCCGGATCTTCTTTGTGGGGATCCTAGGGATCCTCATATTATGACTGTTCATTGTATATCGTGCGATCAATTTTTGTTAAATACTATTTGTATTTAATTTTAAATAAAAATTTTAAATTAATTTCTGACCACACGATGTACTATAAACGGTTATGATGTAAGAATTCCAAAGATCTCTACAATTTGAATCCGAAGAAGATCCAAATCCTACTACGAGTTAATTACTTATTTAAAGAAAGAATATCGACGAGAATATCAAAATAAAAAAATGGTTGAAGGTGTGGTATATCATCATCTTGTAATCGTGGGTGATGCAAGGTTTTTATTTTATTTTATTTATTCAGACTTAAAATTTCTTATTTTTATTTTTAATTTTAATAAATGATATTATCTACAGTAAATGGTGAAAAGTTGGTTAAGGCTCACAATTGACTAACAATAATATGGTTTAAATTCGTCTTTGGCTAGGATCAAACTTAAGACCTCTTATTTATAAGTAAAAAGAAATATCATTATACCGTATTATTAAATGACGACTTAAAACTTCTTATTTACAAGTAAAGAAAACTAATATTTGATTGTGATAATGAATGCCCCATGATCTTGAACCCACCAAACAGGAAACCTCCCCTAGGTACAGATTATTTTCTAATTCTGAATACAATGTCTTAGTGGGTCTTTAATTGAACATTGAGAAATGCTATGTAGACTTTCTTAAAAGTGCGACTCTTCATGGACTATCTGTCACCTCATCTTTTTGGCACAATTCTCGTACTAACATTATGAAACATTGTGCTAAAAAGAAGAGGTGATTGAGAGTCCATGAAGAGTCCTGCTTTGAGAGTCTCCTTAACAGTTCTCCCATTGAGAGAGTCTCCTAAACCCTAGCATTTCTATTGACCATTAAATCAAGGAAAAATTAGTATCTGGTCTCTAGTTTCTATTGTTCATTGACTAAGACCTTATCAGTTTTTAGATTTTGATTAAAGTCCTTAGCATTAATATATTAATGAATTACATGTAAGTTACATCATTTTTTTTAAAAAAAAATTAGTAATTGATTTAGAGTTTTAGTACTCACACCCTTATTAAACTCCTAATTAATTTTCAACTCAAACATTTCCCAAAAATAAAAAATAAAATTAGAATAAGTTCGTACCCATAAAATTTTTATAAAAAATTTTCAAATTTTTAATCTTATATGTATCCATTTTTAAATATACCAATTTGTTAAAAATGTGCCCATTTTTTATATAAAATTTCATTCAATCTTTTCTCTAATCCATTTTTTAAACTTATATGGATACATTCTATTTCATTGATTCAAGAATGTATCCATGTAAGTTTAATAGAAGAAATTTAATAATGTTATTAAGTCTAATATCTTTTTTTTTTTTTTTTTTTGTGCTTTTGAAATATGTACCCATGTTTCGGTACAATAATTTTTTGGTTAGTTTTGAACGTACCCATGTGTGTGTATATCTACACAATATATTGGAGAGTATAATTCATCTTTAATATTTTTAATCCCATAGTTATGGGTTTTATTTAAAATCTCATTAATATAAATAACTACAAATTACATTTTTAATTTAAAAATAT